TATATATATAATTTTAATTTATCAAGTTTTTTACAATACGAAGATCATAAATATTTTTAAATTAATATCTATGATTTATAGTTACAACAGGCTCAAAAACCCTTAATCATAAAATTAGATAATAGATAGATAGATTTTCTTGCAATTTCCTGATAGCAAAGAAATTTTATAACTAATACTACACTAATAATATTAAGGACACATATTTTCTTATGGAAAATTTAATTAAATTATTAAAAAATTAAGATGTGATTAGATTCTTTAAAAAAAATGTCTTTTAAAAAATTTACAATTGTATTATAGATTTATGGCAATATATATTAATATATAATATATCTCTAAAATTTAAAAATAAATTTATTTATGGCAATATATATTAATATATAATATATCTCTAAAATTTAAAAATAAATTTATTTTTTCATATAATATATTATACATACATATGACTGCTTAGTATTAGTGCAATTACTTAAAATGTAAATTTTAGAGGAAAAACTTATTAAAATTTACATTTTTAGAAATAATTAATACTAAATATTTTAATTATTTAATAATTATGGTTTTTTGATAAATTTATATATTTATATAAAAATAATGCAAATCTTGTATTCAATAAAAGGAAATTTTTTTGAGTTGTATTACTATTAATACTAATTATTTTCAATTTTGTTCAATTTTTCACAATAATTAAAATCAATAACAAATTATATTGTATCAATGACAACATATATTTCTACAATATTATATGATTATCTTTTTTTTTTAAATTTGTGTAATATTTATTTGAACTAAGTGTTTTGTTATTTTGATAGGGGTTTATAATAAAGATTTATATATAATCCTATTTGAATTAAGTTTTTTGTTATTTTGATAGGGGTTTATAATAAAGAGTTATATATAATCCTTTTTCAAACTCATCAAATATAAAGTATAAATTAATACATATATCAGAAGCATTTCGAATCCAATTATCACTTGATAGCTACTATTAAATAAAAATAAAGAAGGCTTCTTGAATGATAATCAATATTGTTTTTAATAATTTAATACTCTACGCGTGTTATCATAATCCTTGCTTATCTTTATCGTTTCGAAAAACAGAAAATAGAGGTTAAAATTGTTAATGATATTTTATAGATATTAGAAAAATACAAAGTGGAATTATTTATCTGCAGATCACAAAATATCCCTTCAAATACACTGAATTATATGTTGAAAATTTTTGCGACATTAATTTATTACTGTTTCATACACATACGTATTTCGATATGAATTTATCCGCTTTGTTATAAAATTTTTCTTATAACTCATTGTCAAGTTAAAAATATTTGTTTCTTTAACGAACGTAACGATATAATAGTCTTAAAATACACGTGGGATGTATAAACGAACGATGCTATATGAGATGTTATAACGATTATTGTATGAATGTTATAATGATATCTATCTGTTTTTATCATTAAAATCAAAATGTTACAACAAGTGAACAAAAATGTTATAATAAATATGGAGAAAAATAATATATATTATAATTTGTGTTTTTTTCTAAAAATAGGTCGAAACTTGATTTTTAAATATATGAAATTCGAATCCGAAAATGTCTCGAAATTTGAAATTCTGAAAATCTAAAATTCATATTTTTTGTAGGAAAATTTTATCAAAAATTATAATCTTAGTAAAAAATCTTTAAAAATTTTAAAATTTTCTAAGAATTCTTCAAATTTATCATAATTATAATCAATACAGTAATAAAAAAAAATTATAAGAAATAATAATAATAATAATGGTTATATTTTTAATGTATAAAAAATTAATTTTTATATTTTATCTTTCCTCTATATAAACTATTGTAATGGATCAGTGAGATTATACTAATTATAAATTTTTTAAACACGAATTTTAATATTATTATACTTTAATATTTTATTATTATTATTTATCTAAAATTCAAAAGTTTTAAATATCATTTTCAAACTTTGAAAACTAGAAATTGAAATTTCGAAGCTCCATTGTTTTATCACAGTTTTTTCTGTTTAAAATAATTATTATAGATGGTAATTTTATTATAAATTATGGAAGCTATTAACCTTAAATCTTATCATTTAACAGTTTAAAAAATATTAGTAAATTCTTAAATACATATTTATATTTATTTTATAAAATATAAATTACAATAAACAGATGTTAAAAGAAGATAATAAAAAACAAAGTTCTAGAAACAAATAGTATACTAGTAAATATATGAATTCATATAATTCAATGTAATATTCTATTTCATTTTAATTGCAGCTTGACTTAAAAGTTATTCAATGTTATAATATTTATTAAATTATATGTTTGTTATAATTACATAATAGCAAATATTGAAAAAAAAGTAGATTAAGAATTATATTATATTTTATAACTATATATTCTACATATATATATATTCTTCTATTATTTATAATAAATATATATATATATATATATATTCTTCTATTATTTTATAATAAATTTTAATTAGATATGTATAATTTTATACTAGTTATAGTATAGACGAAGCATTTTACTTTTAAGTATGGCAATGAAGAATGGTTTTATTAATACATTTTTCAAAATTTTTATTGATTGGAAACTTATTAAAAAATTATGTTTTATTATGTAACAAATGTATTTCTAAAATATAAATCTATCAACTATTATTTTCTTAATAAAAAAAAAAGAAGAATTGAATTTTTATAAAGAATATTTGTTTTGCACAATATTATACATAACAATAAAAAGTATAAATAAATGTTTATATCATATTTTAAATTTCTATTGGAAAGAATTATACAATAAATAAAACACGTGAAACAAAAACAAGAAAAAAATGTTTTCAAAATGTAGTCAAGTTATATTATAAAAAAAACGTCCTTATTGAGGAAGGTTAACTGTTTTTATGTATGGCTGGGTTGTGTCGATCGATAAATACGCTGACATTAAAGTACAATGCACACATTTTAAAGACAACTTATATTATTTCTCGACATTTGTTTAGACTAATGAATAGATTAAATATACTAATAACATATAAAACATTTTATGTATATAAAATAAACATACTTAAGTTCAAAATGTGTTAATAATATGGTGCTAATTAATATTTTCTACAATGCACACACAATATTTTCCATTAAATATTATATGAAACATTACATTACAAATGCATATTATAAATATTTGTGATTAATTTCTAGTCTGCAAAATATTTATGTTTTATTATATTCGTTCGATTATATAAAATTAATAAAAAATAAAGAATAGAAATGATTTTTAAAATAAAAAAATTATCTCACAATGATTTTTAAAATGAAATTATAAATTATATTATAAATAAATAATAGAAATTAAAAATTACTGTAAATTAATATAAAATAATTTTTCTATTAAGATTTTTTTCATTTAAAAATCATAATTTTTAATGTAGAATATATGTATGTATATAAAATGACGTCATATTAATATGACGTGATATTATTCTTTATACTATATTATTTCTTTATACTATATATTGAATATTAACATATTCATTTATAGTACAAAGAAGACTGCTTCTAAAGGAAAGGGTATTCAAGCAGGGATGAATGAATATCATAGATATAGTATAAGTCATTTTAACTCTGACCTATACTATATAATGACGTCAAAAATATTTTTAGTTTAAAATGGTTATTATATAAAACATAAAATAATGCAATTGTATAATATATAAATTTTAATAATAAAAGTATAATATAAAAGATAAAAAATGATGGATTATTATTATTGTTTAAACTTTATAATATGTCAGGTAGAATTAATGTTATAAGATAAAATGTTTAAAAAATAATTTCTAAAAATAATTTTTAAAAAAATCGTAAACATTTAAATGTTACAAGATATGTTACATAATTAATTAATAATATAAACGAAAATATATCTATTTCTCATTTATGTTTGATTTTACTTTTAATTTAATTTCTTATTATAAATAAAAATGAAAAATATTTTTTTGTTCTATTAATAGTTATAATTTTTATTACATTCGTTTTTTTGTTTTTATTAACTTTTAAAAAAATACCATTTGCTGATCAGTGCGATATTCTATACTGGAATCATACCTTGTCAACTCATAGCTTTTATTAACCAATATTTTTTAATATCAGCAAAAATGTATGTAAATATGATATAAATTTCAATCATATGAAGTTCATTAAAACATAAATATAAATAATATTTTTTAATTCATGCAATAAACTAATGATTTATTGAATAAAAATTAATGCAATTCTATAGATACTTCTATAGATTCTATAGATACAATAAAATGCTTTTTCATTGAAATATAAAATTAACGCAACTCTAGATATGATAAAAAGTCTTTCATTGAATAGCTATATGTTAAGAATGAAATATAAAAAAGTATAAATAAATTTATTTTTCAATTTTAACGATAACGAACAAGAATTGAGAGACAGATATTCTTTAAATATCATAATACTATTTTATTCATATTATTAAATGTTCCAGACATGCCAATAATAAAATTTAATCATTTTTATGTATGCAGATCCTCCTGTTGACAGCGTGTACATGATATGTGGTGTATTGATCGCTTTGGTGTTAGTCGGTGTTATCATCGTTCTACTAGCTGTAACGATCAGGTAATAAAATACATACTTTATATTTTAAAAAAAATTGCAAAATAAATACAAATAAATATGAATATTTTGAAAATTTCCAAATATTATTTAAATTCAATGTAAAATCTAACTAACCTAATAACTACACTACAATAAAGAAGAGAGTAATTCTACGTAAAAAAATAACATTTTTAAATAAATCAGCCGCAAAAACTTGTTATCTTATATAACATTGATCACTTGTCAGCAGGTATGAATGAATGAATAATTAACAGAAGGACATTATATGTATAACAATAATTAGACGTAGAATAAAATCTTTTTATTCGTCAGGAAATTGAATTTGAATATATTCAATCAAGTTACTTAAACTTAAGTTTTAGTTCGAATTTTTCGAAAGCTAGTCTTGACAATAGCGGATTTAATGAAACGGTGAAATTACGGGAATATATATAAAAAATGGAATTCAATTAGTTTCATTTTATTTTTTGAAATATAATAATATTGATAAATATATTTAATGTAATAAATGTACATATAAAATAAAATATATATAAAAATAAGAAATAGATTACAATAAAGTAGTATATTAGAATACAGAAAATAAAATTGAATAAATAAAAAAAATGTTAAAACGGATAATCATTCTCATTTTGTTATTTTCAATGAATAAAATTGTAGTATTTTAATCGATGATCTTTTTGAAATAATTTTCTTTAGATTTTGAATCCATCAAATCTGATTCCCGTCAAGTCTTCAAATAAAACGATATTTTTTTACATTTTTTACTCACTTTTTTTATGTAGTATCACTTTTTTTCTCTTTTTTATAAATACTGAGACATCTTATATTAATATTGTACATCATATTTATTTTATCTATCTATTTATCTCTATACATATAGATACATATAGTATATTTCCGTTCAAAAATTTTATGATACTTCTTCTTTTAATAAAACTTTAATGTCTGTATTAGCTATGTATATAAATCAATAATATTAAAATGTATGCATTTTTTTTTGTTTCTTTATTGTATAAAATAAATTTTTCTATATTCAATCATAATTTAATTTTTTAATAGTTTTAAAGCAAATATAATAATTTCTCTAAATTTTTGAATGTGGATGTACATATAGATATCTTGTATTAATCAATGAACGATATCTAAATATTCACAGTATTTTATGTGTAAAATAAAAATAATTTTTAAAATTTTAAAATTAGCAAATTCAATCAACAAAAATATATTAAAATTACTGATTGATACAACTTCAAGAGCTTCTTTTGAAAACGACAAAACAAAACAAAAAAAAATAAAAATAAAAAAGAATAAGATAAACAAAATTCATCAAAATAGATATTATAACAAAATTTAATAATTAGACCAGAATGAAATCTCAAAAGAAATCTGTATAGAAAGAAGATATAAAATATATTAAAAGAAAGTGTACAATTGGATGGAGTTCAACAGTCCTTTTAAGCACGTTAATCGTGTTTCATTGAACATGCATCAACAAATAGCGTGCATTCATCTACTAAAGCTCTATCCAATTAAGGTCATATCTTTCTTTCTTTTTTCCTCTTTATCTTGCACGCGTGCGATTTATCTACGAATAACAATGTATTTGGTTCATACTTCTATCGAGTGCAAACACTACGTCACAGTGTAAAAAAGCAGTCAACAAAGAAATAACGTCATTAATTTATATTGACGTTATATGAACAAAACAAGTAAGAAAATAACGTAATTGAAACTTGTTAAATGTCAATGATTAAGAAAATGAATGTCTTACAAGGTGATCCACATTAAAAGTGAAATTAAAAAAATGAAATCAAGTTCGCTTAAAAGTAGAAGGAAATGAAATAAAATTCTAATAAATTTTCTAATCACAATTATTTTTTTTAATTTGACAATTTTATTGAATGTTCGTATAATGTTTGTTACATCATTTTTCACTGTCTTTGTCAAATACTATCATATATGAACTTTAAGAAAGAAATCGAAGAGAAGAAAAAAAAAAATTAAACGACACTTATCTTTCAAAGAAGTAACGATGAGAGTCACGGAATGAGTGATTAAAGATGCATAGGTATTTCATAGGTTTTTCTTCGTATATCGATGAATCACATTTCTTCATCTGAAAATATGTGTTACTCATTCGATTTAATATTTTCAAGATAAAGATAATTTCCAAAGAACTTAGCTTATCCAAAGAACTTGATTCAATCTATTTCACGAGCAATTAATTGATTATTTAAATATATATATATGTATATGAATTCAATAAAAGTCTAAGTAAATATATAATTTTAGAAATAATTTAAATCTTATACAAATGCCCAGTATTTTTTTACTTTTAAAAAAACAAAATTTTATTTAATTTTTGATGAATCATTTTTACATGTTAGCAAACAATATATTATCTTTTTTAAAATAAAAAGTCGATTAAAAAAAATTTTATTAAATTTATTAATTTTATTCTCACGCAATGAAAATAAAAATTTGTAATAGGAAATTTAATCATTATTAAATTTTTTAGATTATGTGTTTATGTTTTTGATCTTATAATGTTGAATTAAACATATTTTTTGAAATTGTGTTTATTAAAGAAATATAATAATATTAATATTATTTAATATTAAATATTAAATATAATATTAAATAATTATAAAAGAAATAAATAAAAATTTAATTACATAACATAATATAATATGTTAAATATGTAATTAATTAAAAAACTTTCGATATTTTAATTTTTTTTATTTTATTTTATTTATTTATTTATTTTTTTTTTTTTTTTTCCTATATATTATCTTATGTACATATTCTGGTAAAAGTAAAGTCTTAACAAGTTTCTGAAATTCTTCGAAATTAGATTTGCAATCAGTTAATAATAATAATAATCTTCTTGGCTTATAAAAAATTAAACTTTTACGTTCTATTATTTTTAAATATAAACAATTGATGAAATTATTGATTAAAATAAATCTAAAGTCTAAATAATAATTTAAGTTGATTATTATTCAATAATTATTATTAAATCAATAAAATTCTTATGCTCCTAATATTCTCATAAGTTACTTATGCAAATTATTCTTTATCTAGATTTCCAAACTTTCGAATCATAAAAATAGCAAAAAAGTTTTAAAGTTTAAAAATATAAAACTTTTTGACGTTTGAGATTTTGAACATTTCATTTCTAATTTTTATATTATTATAATATGGAACATATATATGGAAATAGATCAATATATATTTTTTTCATATTATTGCTTATTTATAATTTCTTCTAATTCACATACATTTATGTAGTGAATATATCAAATCAAATCTAATTTATATGTACATTATGAATTATGAGAAAAGTCATTTAGAATGGAGAAAGAGAAATTGAAAGATTTTAATCTCAAAATTCACATGTACTCACGTGAATGAAATATGAAAATCTGATAATCTGTAAAAGAATTTTGTTTTAAATCTCAATAACGAATTTATCCAATTGTATGTTTTTCTATTCAACAACATTGTAATGGAGATTATGCGGAAAGGTTTCTTCATATCGAGACTGCAATCGATAAATATATCTTTCTTCGTATTTTTGTCGATTTCACTTAAATAGATTTAACACGGAGATTATATGCAAAAAATTTTATTGCAATACACTTTCTTTGAAAATCTTCTGTATGTTTCTGATTATACTAAGCCTGCTTTTATCGATTTATTATCCGATTAATCTTCTTGATTGTTAGTTCTATACAAGGTGCTTTAGAAACAGATAACCAAACTTTACTCTTATATTCTCTCTAAAAATATAAAAAAAGTCGTAAATTTTTTTTTCGTTAAACTTTTTTAAAATATAAGTATTTTTTGTATATGATATTTTAATCCTTTGCACTCGAAATATAAATAAACTGTTTTCAGTATCAGAAAGACTTAATTTATTACAATAATTAGTTTTAATGAAAAAAAGATTTTAATAATACTCTTAATTTACGTATAACAACTATTCATTTAAAATTTCAACGTGAATAAAAAATATTTATATTTCAAATTTATATTTCTATATAATTTTTTTATATTTTACTATATTTTAAAGAGAATATGACATTAAAATTTTGCATTATTTAATCTTAAAATTAATCTTGATAATTAAATTAAATCATTTTTGATATAATTTTTTGATGATAACTTTTGATTTAATCATTATATTATTAAACAAATAAAGTTTAAGTATATTAAAAATAATTAATATACAAGTAATATTATATGAAAATAAATGATAAAGAAATAAGTGATAAAAAAATGAAACTAATAACATTTTTTTATATTAACAATTCTAAAATGATATTAATTATTAAAAGTAAATTATAAATTAGACTGAAAATAATCATAAACATTTATTATTACACGTGAATAATATAATTATATATTTCGATAATTCGCTATAAAATATTAAGTTTATATAATAATTATATAATAATAAACAACTTGACTATTTTATATAATATATACAAAAAAATGAATATGTTTTATTTCACGTCAAACACGTGGATTTGTTCACTGATTTTGAACGATTGACTGACTCATCTTATAATTTCCCACGACTATTATATTTTCTGTGAAACAACGTAATATGTATATTTGTTAGGTAATTTGCAATAATATATACGTATTAAAAATTTACATTTTTTCAATTAAATGTTCAAGAACGTGTACATAATTGTTTATACAATTTCAATAAATAAATATATCATATACTTGATATATGTTACACATGAAATACATATTTTACATGAAATAATAAATTAAATCATAAATATTGAATAATTTTTCATTCGTAAATCCATTTAAAAATGTATCTTTAATGCAAATTGAGGATAATTAATAGTGAATTCTATTTGATAATGATTGTCCAAACAATTTTCAAGTTAATTATTTATTTAAAAATTTATATAATGTGAATTTATATAATGTATGAATTATAATATATTTTTATATAATTATTGAATATAATGAATATTTATATTAAATGAAATATACATAAATAATGCAATTAATGAATTTTCAAAACAACTAAAAATTTGTCAATGAAAACGAAACTCTTTTTTTATAGTGTTTTCAGAAATAATTTAAAGCATATAACTGAACATAATATTTATTAAAAATAATAAAAAAATAATAATTGTTAATTTGCAATAGAAATTTATTTGTAAATTTATTTATTTTAAAATAGAATTTATTTCAAATGTATGAATAAAAAGAATTGCACAAATTTATTAAATCAAATTAAATATTGAAATTTATATACGATATGAAAAAATATATAGATCAGAATTAAAATTAGAAGCACTACTTTCGCCAATGTAGTAAAAGTGAATTTTTATTGAATAGAAATGCAACTCGATATATTAAAGATTTTCTTTAGATATAAAATATATATTAAATCATAAGTTTGCCAAATAAAAAAATATAAAAAAATATAATTAATTTCTCTCTCTTTCTCTCTCTCTCTCTCTTTCTTAATTTTATTATATGTATATATTACATATATACATATAAATACATATATGTATATTATAGTTACATATTATTTTATATTATATTTTATTATTATTAGGTATACTATAATATATCATAATAAAATTTATCATTATTAAAAAACACGTGTCTTATATATTTATATCATGTGATTTAAAGATGAACAATACGTGAATTTTCAGGTAAAAGATACTAAATAGATACGACAATCTGATTAGTTGGTTGTTCATTAGAAGATATTGAACGACATAATGAGTCAAGTCTTATCATGTTATATTTTGAGAAATTGTATAATTATAAATGATAGTAAAATATCATACAAAAAAATGTATATTTTTAAATAATATATTTATTGCATTTTTATTAATATAAATATCTCATTCAAAAGATTAATTATATTATAGAATTTTCAAAGAATAGATTAAAATTAATGTAAAGCAATATTTCATACAAATATATTTGTATATATATATATCCTATATTATCTTGTATATACATATATTTATCTATATTAATTATTATGATAGTTACCATTATTACTTTGTTACTTTATTAGTTATTTTATTACTTTATGTAAAAATATATATGTACTTATATACTTATATCTTCATGCTATTTCAAATCCTCTATTACATGCCTTGTGAAGTGTAAATCCGTATATTTGTTTTTTTATCATTGAGAACTAAAATTACAAAATAATTAAAATTATGCTAATATCATGGTTAAATTGTGGATATTTATGCAAATATTTTTTTATGCATAAAGTATATTTTTTTTATAATAAATACATTTCTATGATTTAAAAATATATTTAACATGTAAATATTACAATTCAGTTTATGAATTAATTTTTTTAAATAAACAATATCAACAATATCAACAGAATCAATCAAATAATAGGAAATCTTAAAAAAATTATCTGAAAACCAATTTTTTTTTCAAAAATTATATATAATTATTTATATTCAGTAGATAGACATAATTTATGAATTTATTTTGTGATAATAAACAAAAATAGATGATGAACAATAATCATAATTATTTATATATTTAAAATATTTATAAGAATATTTTATGGAAAATGTTTTAATATATTAGAATTTTTCAAAATTTATGTTTTTAAATGATCTTTCTTATATATAAAGAATATCGGAAATGTTTATATTTATCAATACTCTATAATTTTGAAAATTTAGAGATTTGCATTCCATTTTCTTTAATATCAAAAAAAAGGAATTTATTACATGATAAGTTTATTAATGAATCAGAATATATTCAGAAATTTATTCATACATTATATATGTATATAAATTCCAAACAGATGTGATGAAAAATTCAGTAGATACAATATTTATGAAATACAAATTTAACAAGGATTACTCTATATTATTCAAGTATGTGTATAAAGAAAAAATTAAAAATACATCTAAATATATTTTATTATATATCTTAATGAACAAGATGATTATAAAGAAGTGTAAATATGCTTATTATCGATTTAGTTAATTTTGTAATGTAGTCACAATCTATATACTTACACGCCCAAGAGTCAAGAATAGATACTAATTAAATAGAGCACGCGAATATATGTACCTAAACTATCCCTATTCTGTCTAGACTCGTGTTCAAGTTAAATTTCATCGTAGCAAATTAACCAAAAATATATTTGTATAGATTGCTGAAAAATTTTTTATCGAAAAATATCTGCGTGAAAAACATCTACTATTGCGGTCAAAATATACGAAACATTGTATTTCCTTTTGGAAATACCAAATTATTATCATATCACAAGTGAGCAATTCTTGAAAAAGAAATAAAAATAAAAGTCTCGATATCTATTATTGAATCAGATATTTATAGAATCTATATTGATTGAAATTCGTAATTGAAATTTATAATTTTTATCGATATTTATATCGATTGTGATATAATTGATAATAATTATGAATAGAAAGTAAATAATTTCTAGTAACAACATAATATCGAAATATATTATAATATCGAATAAAATTGTAATTATTAATCGAGAAATATTACAATAAAGTTTTTATTACAAATGATATAGTAAAAAAAACTTTTACAAGAATATAAAAAAGAAAGAAAATAAATTAATTAATTGATATCAAAGTATTGATATGTTCGATAGACAATCTTATATTTTGGAAAGTTTATTTAGGATTAACTTTTAATTAGAAACAATACTCAAAATATAATACGTTGGATTTAACAATTGCATTCCAAATAACATATAATATAATAAATTAGTAAACGAATGATTATTTGAATTCATAAAATTTTTCATACAACTATTTCTTTATATTTTTTATACAACTACTCTAAAAAAAATTTATTGTTTATTTATTAAGAATTATTATGAATTATTGAAATAGTTTAGAATAAGAATTAAAATTATAATTAATAATATAATAAATTGCATAAAAAGTTATAATTCTGATTAATTTTATATTTCTTTGAATTGTTTAGAAAGAGTACTTCAAAAGGAGATAGAGGTAGACTAATGATTAATTGATTATCAAGAGAAATGAATCATTTTATTAAAATTAAAATTGTTGATACTTATTACTCAAATTGATACATATATTTCATAATTTCAAATTATTCATAAATAATTGTTTATATATTAAGCAAAATATATGATCAAATTTTCAATAAAATATATAATTTATTATTATTAAATTTATTTTGAAATTTTTTAAAAATAATATCATATATTTTCTATCAAAATAACATTATACAGAATAAAGATATTGAGATATAATAAATTTAAGACAAATCATAATTTATCAATATAATTACAATGAAAGTATTAGTAAAAATTATTATGTTTATTATGAAAGAAATTATTAATGTTATTTTTAATAATAAGCAATAAAAAAATTACATAAAAAATATTTTTTATTTTGAAAGCAAACTATTTTTGTAAATTTTATAATTAGTATTTAATAATTTAATAATATTACAATTAAATAAAGTATTTTTTTATATCCTATATATATAATAAATATATATAATTTTAATGCAAATAATTTTAAATTTTCAAATTAATAATTTGTACGTTTGAATTAGTTTGTACGTTTATAAAAAATTATATGAAATTATATTCATAAGAAATTAATGAATAATAAAAATTTTTTCAAAAATATATCTAAATATAACCTAAATATATTTAATACAAATAATAATGTAATATTTATGTAATATTTAAAGTAAAAAGTGCAAAAAAAAGCTGTTATTTAAATTTTTATTAGTTTTAATCATGTAATATTAATATACTTATGAATAGATAAAAAAAAATTGTTCATTAAAAAGATTGATTTCTCACAATAATCGACATAAATAAATCAATACCAACAACAGTTTCAATGAAGTATCGTAAAATGTAATAGGAATATTTATGATGACAGTAAAAGATTAATATACATACAAAGAATTGGTACAAACGTATTTAAGTACGTTATTCCCCTTATTCCATGGATATGTTTAAAAACGTATACATACTTATAGTATATACCGTCTGGCCTTTCCAACGTTTATTCGAGATGACGGCAATGAAAAGCTCTCAAGTGAACGAGCGAGCGTGCACCGTTCGAATTTCACGCAGTAAGTGAGTTGATTGGTCGGAGCTCATAGCAACTTCCAATCATGATGCCGCGTAGTCGTGACGTCAAGCACAGTATATAATAACGTCGCGCGCCATCGTTCTGGTCAGATCTCGGTTGGCTTTGAAATGAGCGAAACGAGGTAATTTTCGGAGAGTTCTGGCAGCTCGCGTGCCCTTTGGCTGTGAGAGAAGCCGGGTGGTGGTTTTTCTTCAGTTCAAAAGTAAAAAATAAATTACTGTACAGTCGTTGTTCAATCTAACGCTGTATTTCAACATCAAGAATTTTTCAAACTAGTCATCATCGAATGTATCGTCGTTTGTTGAGTGAATGTACGAGAACGAACAGCTGAACGCAAATTATAGTGTTTCATCGATAGTATGAGTTAAAAGGTGGGCTAGAATAAGTTGCGTAAAGCTTTGAATAAATTTTTATATTAAATTGAAGAATTAAAAGGACATTTCCTAAATCAAGAATACATTTTCGTATTATAATTTTATTTGTAAATAACAAAAGCTTTGTAAAATTATGCTAAAATAGAATTTGAATAAGAAAGAAAAGAGAGTGAAAGAAGAAACCGATATATAGTATACGAAAGAAAGAGAGAGAAAAAATAGACTGATAAGAAGCATATTGCTCGAAAAGTTGTTGTATTTATTTTACGTAAAAACAAACATATTTTCTGGTCGTTTGACTTACGTATTTTCCTTCGGGAACCAATAAAAATTCTCGATCCATTCGAGAGTTGTGATATAAACAACTTAAAAATTTGTTCACGAATTAACACGAAGCTCTTGAAGCTGTACCTGAAAGAAAAAAGAAAAATGGTTGGAAGCAACGGGACTATGATCGCAATTCGGCTTGTCCGTAGCAAATTGCGGAAACGAGAGGATCATTCGAATGCGGTACATCCGGAAGCAGCCGTAGTTCAAACGGCAACATCGCCGGTTTCGACGATCGTCGCTCCGTCTTATCCTGGCGAAGGTTGTTGCACGCAAACGTCAGTGACTACCACATCGACGGATCTGGGAAATAACACAGCTGTTGAACAGGATAACGTCTATACCACCGCCAATCCGGCAGATCAATTCGTCTGGCAGTTTCCGCCTCCTTATCCACCGCCTCACACACCGACACAGTATACGTTGTACAACGACCAGGTTGGTATATAATCTTTCCATTAAGGTTTTTTTTTACTTTCTATTTTTTTACTTTTTTCTTTTTTCCTTTCTTTTCTTTGAATTTATAATCTCGAAGAAAAACGAGGACTATACGTTTCTTCCTTCTGACTTCCTTCATATTCCTCTATGTATGTATATTAGCTATACTAACCAGTAAAGCCAGTATTACCAGATTTTACTGGTTTATTCCCTGCTTGCCAGGACTATGGGTTATTTTAACGACTATCAATAATATTTAACGTAATAAAAGTTTTTTTATAAAATTAATTTTAAAAAATAAATTTGCTTAAATTTTAATCTTTTATTAAAATTAATGAAATATTGTGACACAATATTATTAAATATAAAATAATAAGGAATAAAGATATTGTTAATTTTCTAATTTTATTGATTTCAAAAGATATAAAAGATAATTTGAATAATGAATGATAAAACTATTATATTTTTTTTCTACATTATTGTTTTTAAATTGACTGATTTTGTATTATAATTTTTTCTTTGTTCATGATATTTTTAAAATTTAAATTAATGAAAATATATTGGTTAATATATTTTTAGTTAAAAATTAAATTGAATTAAAAAAAAAACGATTTGAACCAATAAAAGAATTACAATTTTTAACATTTACTAAATTAAAAATTAAAAAATATTGGATTTCTATCACAATATTTATTGCTTGAGTATTAATCTTTCTAAATTTGTATTTGTATATTATAGTATTTTGAAAAAGTATAGGTTATGTTATATATGTATGTCATTTTATAATTATTTATAATTTGTAATATATAAAATAACTCTGTTTACGAACTATATTTTATTTTTATATATTAATAATGTTTCAGTATGCAGCTTTTAGTGTTTGCTAATATTTAGATTCATAAAATGATGAAAGCTTGTGCAATATATTATTTATAGTAGATATGATAAATAGTTTATACATAATATATTATATCAAAAAAGACATATCTAGTAACACTCCAGAATATACTTGGTAATGGTAAGGCCTTTGAAAATTGTAGTTATTAATAATAGTTGATGGCGCTATCGATTGTCCAAGGACGAGGCATACGAGTAGACGGCCTGGCAAACGAGTTGTAAGGTCGAGGCTCAGTCCGAGGCTCGTCGCCAGAAAAATCCCAAACAATCGGCAACGTTGCCACTTTTACTCTGCTTTGTTGCCGTTATGACACGTATGTTTCAGTTTCATGCTCTACTTACCAGTAAATCTCTACTGCTTTCCAGTATCTTTGATAATTTTTAAATTATTTTTATTATCATTATATTATTTCATATCTCATTAAAAAATCAATAAATCTTATATCTTTATCATATAATTAATTTCAAATTATATTCCAATATTAATTCTGCAATCAAAATTTATAGTTTATATGACATACATAGCATTTTCTAAATTAGAAATTTTATAGTCAGATTAATCTAGCTGTTATCTAAATGATACAAGTTTTCATAATTATGATGTAAGATATATATGACGTAGACATCATACTTACGTTCGATTAAAGTAAGCTTATCGAAAGTAAGATAAGATCGAGATTTTCCAAGTTTTATTTACTACGTCACACAATTATAATTCTGCAAAATAAATAATCATTCGATTAATGTTTACAGATTATCAAAATTGTCGATATGTAATTCAAATAAGAATCATACTAACACTAATAATATTTCTGAATGTTTGATGATTTATAATCTTTATCATGATTGTTAAAATTTACATAATGACTTAGCTCGTATAATTCGCATAGTTAAAGTCATTTCTTGTCTTATGTCATACCTATTAATCATAACAAAGTATTAATCGGTTAATATAATTACATCAGTTATTTCAAAACCAATACAGTTATGAGTTTAAGAGATGATTATTAAAAAAAAGCGTCACAACATTTAAATTGAATCAATGTAATTGCTAATGTCACTCAAAATCTTTATTTCTATATATTTTCTTAGGTTATCATAGAATATTATTCATATTCTTTTAATTTTAATTCGATTATTTCAAAATTGACATACATATATAATATTAAGAATTATATTTTCTATAAAACATTTATTTTCTTTTTTATGCATATTTTTTTTATATTAATATCTATTAAAATTATGTTATTCAATAATCAATAATTTCGTTGAAGAATATATAGAACATATAGAAGGACTACTCGTGGCTCAACATGTTGATTTTATCGTATTATTGGCGCCTATTGATCATTTACGTACATATGTATATAGCGTCGCGACGTTCAATTTTCCATCTGGCAAACCGCGAAAGCCGCTATGTTTGGTGTTTTGAACGCATAGACGCACCTAAAAACCCGCTTTTACCCCTCGGGCTGGCTCTAAATTTAGCGTAGGTGGGCGGCTACAACCGTTTGCCAAGCAACAGGACTTCGGTACAGGGTGCAGCTGTCTCGTAGACAGCAAAATAATGCGTCTCTTCTTGACAATATTGGCAATATTCCTGCAACATTCTTTTGTCATGCTTTGTTGAATCGTTCGACGATTGCCGATTCTTCTCTATCTTTTGCGATTCATTTCTAAATGTCGACCGACGAGAATTTCAGTTTCTTCTGTTCACATATGTGGTCATCTACCTCTGTTGAACGGTTCTGTTTGCCTCTTCGCAATATGTATATAGTTTCTCTGTCTCACTCTTTAGCTCTGGATCCTGCTGATCGGTAGTTTCGTAATATCGCACCCGGATACACGACGTATCCTGCTTTTTCAGTTGAGTCGACGCGCTCTCGACTATTTGCATGGTTCATAGATCATTCTAATCGTATTGCAGTGTATTATATATATGTATATAAATTGCAATATATGTATGACCTTACTCGGTTACCTATGTTATTTAATTGCAATACTGCTACATATTTTAAATAAATTGTATAACTTAAAGTTCAAAGATAATGAATTTCAATATGATTGAAAGATTGAGACAGATGATTCAATTGTTATTTATATCTATAAATTTACATTTTGATATCTAATCCTAAACAATATATTAATATTAATGAAACTTATGGCATATTGGACAAAAATGTTAATTATTTATTATACATAATTACTACTTATTTATATTTATATTTATAAATTACAAGATTTGATATGTTAAAAAATATAATTTTATATAATTTTACATAGTAATTATTTTATATTTCAATATTTAATTATGATGATATCCAAGAACGAAAACATAAATATATAAGAAAATGACATTGAAATTCTATTCATATATCAAAAAAATAACATAATGCTCTAATAGCTTTATATTATATAAATTCTTTTTAAATTGAACATTAACTTTAAGTTGTTGAAAACGCTATTTAAGTTCTTATTCATATTATGTAATATTAAAAACAACATTAATAGGATTTCAGAACATTGTTTGTTATTTAAATACTATAATAATGATACTAAATTGATATCCATTGGTCTACTTTATAATCGTGATCAATCATAAATTGTTTTTGTACTAGAAAAAATATTAATAGCATTCAATGATTAAATATATTAAAATTATTAAAATGAAAATTAATTTCTGGAACAATAAATTGCTGCATAATGAGATATATAAAATTATTTTATCAATTTAATAACAATTATATTAACAATTTAATATTATAAGCAATAATTGGAATATTTATTTAATTTTAATATAATTTAGCAAAATATTACTAAATCAAAAATATAAAACTTTATATAACTAACTTAATTTTATAATTATAACTGATATATATAATATTTATATATTTATAAAATATTTTTTTTATATAACATATATATATATATATGTGTGTGTATTACATTATATAAAATTTATAAGTTATTTATTTTGAAGTGGTTGGAAGTACATGATTCAATTAAAAATAAAATGATAAAATTGAAAGAAACAAATTTAAATTCTATTTTCTTCTAATAATTCTAAAAAAATGTCTTTACAATCACTATATTTTATTCATTATATTTTACAGGATACACTTGTACACGCTCTACCGTCGGATAGGTCTGGATTTGCAAAGGGCTTCCGCAAAAATATCGGAGGACGCTGGCGTCGCTTGGTAAAAAGGAAGCCGGAGTCGGAGACTTGTGCCATTCCTCCTGAATTAAAGGATCAACTGAAAACAATTTACGTCTATTGACGATCAGCGTTAATGCGCCGTTGTCTGTATTTTTATAATTCTTCCTCGGTTATCGATGATTTCTTCTATGTAAGATAGTAATTATATCGAGAAAGATGTATATGGTACGAATGACAAAGAATAAAGAAAAAAACGCGTAATGGGATAGTTCATCGAAAAAAGACAAAGGGAAAATAATATCGAATATATATTTGTTCGTAGCAAAAATAATAAAAAATACTAAATAGTTTATATTATAGTAATTTTTAATAGAAAATTTCGAAAGTAATTTAGAAAAAAAAATGAAATTCAATAAAATTCGTACTTTTTGTGAAACATATCAACAAGTGCCTAAAGATGTTTGGTCAAGTTAAAAATATATATAAAAACAAAATTATGTTCTTTTGATGATGAATATTTTTATGAAAATATAACATCGAAGTAATTATAATTTGAATCATAATTACATAAAATATAGCAATATTTATAAAGACATATATAGGGAAACAAGAAAAAAAATTTTATTATTATAGATTTTATTACGATTTATCGTCGAGTATTTTAACATGTCTTGAAATATCATCAATAAGAAACAAAAGAAAATTTTTAAATAGCTGTCCCGCGTAAGTATCTAATTGCTCGGCTATGCAAAAAATTAAAAGTTACTAGGCTTTGATATATTGGACAATGGCGTCAAGAACTCTATGAGACTGAACGTAAAGAGTACGACAACACGAGTTACCTCGTAGCTTTTCTTGAATATGTTCTTTCATGAATAATACAAAAAAATAATTTCAAATCACTAGTATTAACATATACCTGAAATTTTATAATCTTCAGAATTGCCAAAACTTCTGTATCTATGTCTTTTTTTTGGCATTTCTGTTGTATATGTAAATAGATGTATAAAGCAGTAAAAATATGAACTATTTTTAATTCTTATAATGGCTGATTGTTCAAGTAAAATTCTAAATTTTTCTTTATCAATATTATTTAAAAAACTTAAATGTTACACAAAGAAACGAAAGAATATCAATTAAAAGTTACATTCGAAATAATTATTTCTTAGATATATTATAGAATAATTATTTCTTAATCTTTCAAAATGAAAATGACGCATTTCGTATATACTTGTGACATAGGCCAATTTAAGATTCTTAATATTATTCAGCAGCTCATATTGAGCTCATATACTAATATGGTATTTTAGTTGTATTGTTGTATCAAGCAATACTTTTTCTTGAAATGTACTAAAATTTAATGGGTTAAATAAACAAAAAAATTTGTATATAGTCATTCTTCAGACTAATTGATTCCGGATATAAATCGAAAAAGATGTAAATCGAGGAATGACTGTATGACATTGTGCCACGTTTTATATTAGCGAAGCTGTTTGGTTTTGTGCTAAATGTATTCTTTTTGCACTTGCAATTTTATACGTGCGTCAAAATTGATAATTTATATTTAGATGCAAATGGAAATAATATATATATATATTTAAAAGAAAAAAAAAGCATTAATTGTATCAACGTTTCTTTGATAGCTCGATTTTTTAATTCCTTATTGTAACTTTCTAGAATGTAAATATATTATTGCATTGTTTGTTTATTATGAATGTGATGGCATAATGTTTAAACGTGAAAGGAATAGATAGTTTAAGGATCAATAACGTGCCTACGATTTTTATAAAAATGAAATACTGATGCAATTGCATCCTTCACCTAGTCACTTGATAATAATTGTTCAAAACTTGTATTTTAAACTTTTTGCCGCAGCTTGGATCTTTCCTCGTGAATATCTATCTGAATACAACAATATCAAATAAAGTATTCAAAAGGATATATATTATTTGTGTATTTATTCTATATAATTCCTTAAAACTCCTTAAAAATTGAAATTTTTAATTAAAAAAATTATTATATACTTTATTAATTATCAAAATATAATTAAAAAAATTAATCAATAAGAACTATTAAAATTAAAAATAATTTAAATATTGATATGTTTCAAATATCATATGAAAATACATATAAATATATAATAAAATACATTTTACATATTTTATACTTTATATTATTTCAATACTTAAATTTTTATTTTTTATCATCTTAACATTAATCTTCTAGCAATAATATATAATTAATATATTTCAAAATAACGTACATACTTGTATTACCTTGAAGCAATTAATTGCATTATCTTAAAATATTTATATATGTATAAACATAGTATAATAATTAAAAAAATTTTCACATATTTTATAAAAAAGAATTTATAAAATTTTATTATAATCTATAAAATTAATACGTATACTAAAACAACTTAGAAATTTTATTATTATATATATATTAACAAATAAATATGATTATACAACGTAATATATATAAAATTTATTTTAATCAAAATTGTATTTTTATAGAGGTACAATAATTTTATGTATGACAATATATCTAATTAAAACATATATATGATTGTATAATTCTAACCATGTGATCGAAACTTACAATTAAAAAAGTATACTTACACAGATAATTTCTTCGTTCATAGAAATATAATTATATAAATGTATAAAACAGTTACAATAATAAAAAAAAGTAAGCGATACATTGTAGATTATAGTAATATCATCAGTATATACTTGTTATATACTTAAATTATATTAATTAAAAAAAATAGAGGTTAGATTTTTCGATAGATATATTTTGAAACTTAAAAGAAGAAAATAATTATTGATTAAATGATTTTCTTATATATTATAAAAGCACGTTCATACATTTGAATAACATATAATAAAATAATATTTTTTGTTTATATTAATTTTGTTAAATATGTTATATTATATAAGATATAGATATTGAAATTAATATGAAAAATATATAGAAAAAAAAACAATAATAAAATATTTAATATTGAATAAATTTTAATATAATATAAAATATATAGTATTTCTATTAAACAATATTTAGATTTTTTCTTATATATAATTTTATTAATAATATAACTATGTATATAAATATTTGTAGATTATAGGAACGCATCAATTTTATTACGAGGAATAAGTATTATGACACAGAATAATCCAATAGAACTTTCAATAAAAAAAAAATTGATAGATTCTTTAAATCCATCTTATATCGAAGTAATAAATGAATCATATATGCACAATGTTCCTAAAGGATCTGAAACGCATTTCAAAATAATCGTCGTTTCTGATTTATTCAAAGATAAACCACTTATTAAGGTAAAAAGTAATGAAATTCATGATAACGTTTACAATAAGAGATTTAATGAAAATTTCTTATTATATTTTATATTTAAATTTTATAATTAGTTTCTATAATATACATATAATATTATATATTTTAATGAAATATTTTATAAAAAAGACTATGATATTTTATAAAAGTTTACAATTTATCTTTTGTTTTAATAAAATCTTAATTCATATATTTTAAAGATACAATTTTATTGATTTAGCGTCATCGAATGGTAAATGAATTATTACAAGCAGAATTACAAGGAGGTGTGCATGCATTATCAATTATAGTAAGTACTACTATAAAAATATTTTAATGTAATGTAAAAATTTCAGTAAAATTTGAAAATAAATATTATTTTCAAATATTTAAAATTTTTATGTTTATATATATAATTTTTATGTTTATTTACAAAGGCGAAGACATCTGATCAATGGAAAGACAAATGTAATATATCACCAAGTCCAGTTTGTAGAGGTGGTTTTGGAAGATGAATTTTTGTTATGTACATCAATATTTGAATTATAATCATAGTGTGTGTACATATGTTATGTACACACACACACACATATATATATATATACATATGATATCTGCATATTAAATTTTCTAAATTTAATTTAATTCTATTTTATAATTATATGCAATTAAGGAACATAAAATAAGATAATTATGAAGTTTTAAATTCAATATATGATTATTAATGATATTTAATTTGAACTGAATAATAATTTAAAAAAATAAAAAGATATATTAATGTCATAAAGCAAAAGTATCCAGTCTTAATTTTCCCTCATTTTCAGTAAAATAAAGTATATCAGCCATAGATTGTTCTGCTATTGTTTCTTCTGCTCTATCATGCATCTGTAAAATATAAATAATTGTTGAAAGAATATGCTGAGAAATTTTTTTTATTAAATCATTACTTACTCCTCTGAATGTAACATCTGTTGGAGGACATTTAAAGTTTGGTCCAAAATTAACGGAAACTGTAGCACTTTTATGAATGGAAACTGTAGGATAATAAGCTCCTTTATTAATATCTATAAATGCTTCACCTTGATTTATTCCATTTTTATAAAATATAATTTTGCTTCCTTGTAATGGTTTTAGAGCCTTAAGAGCTTCAGGTACTTGATCTTTTTCTTCATAATAAAGATGACTTTTGAATTTTACTAAGGGCTAATGTATAAACATCAATTTATAAAACATTTATGATAATATAATAAACTTACATTTCATTCTTACCCGATCCTTGTAGGTATTTGGTAAATGTGATGCATCATGTGTATCTGGTAAAATTAAGACGAATCCTAATGTATCACCTTCTCCATAACCATTGCTATAATGTTTACCTCTACTTTCATGGAATCGTGTACCTTTTCTATTCATAATTAAAATTATTTATTTATTATAATGTTGTATTATATTGAAGTTGTTTTAAAATAGAATATGAAAATTGAATTATACCTAGATCTCCAGGAATATCCAAATTTATCATAACCTAGTGGAGCTTGTAAGTTAGCATATTCTTGACCCCATCCTAATCTTGTAGCTGAACCTTCTGGCATTTCTTCAATAGTAGCTTCCCAATACCATGTACCTCTGCTTACATCTAAAGAATGAACAAGTTATTTGAATAATATAAAAAATATAAATCAATAATCTTAATTTTTAATTTAATATATATTTATTGTATAAAATTATTTCTCATATAATAGATTATAATATTAACATACTATGAGTTGCTCTGACCATGCAATAACCCTTTTCTCCAGTTACTGCTAATCTATCTTCTGAAACTCTAAGCTGTGGTGCTCGATCATGCAAAGCAAGTAAAACTGTACTTGGACTCAAAGCTCTATACAACCAACCAGGAATAGGTTTTCCAGCCCAATCACTACTTTCATCAAATTCCTGTAAAATAATATTTAGATTTATAATATATATATGAAGTATAAGATAATATATAATATATAACATAATTACAAACCTGTCTAAAAGGTGCATGTGGATCAGGCTCAGCAAGAATATATCGATAACCATCTTTATTAAAAGGATGTTCAAGAGGATATCCATGAGCAGGTAACTTAGGAGCCGTCATATCAGAACCCCTACCCTTTTTACCAGGTCCAGTACCTGTTCCTTCTCCAGGAAATTTACGTTTTGCATTGCGACCACGAAAACCTCCACTAAGTGGTACTGTACATGCCATAGTAATATTCATTACTTATGTAGTATAATATAGTATAAAATTTAATATGATATATCAAAAATATAACAATTGCATAAAAATAATCTTATATATGCTTAACTGTTAAATTTTTTTAAAATAAAATTGACGAAATTTAAGATGAAATTTTTTTAAAATAAATTAAATATTATGTATTGATTCATAATACTATAATTGCTATTATATAATAAATTCACAATTTTATAGAATTTATTAATAACATAACCTATTTAGACATTCTATGATTAAGCAAGTTGTTATATGATACCATAGTACTGATTAATATCTTGATAAGATAAGAAGTAAGTATAACAAAAAGAAAAAATTAATTATTGAAAGATAAAAATAAATATAAATAAATTAATCAAGTAATTAATAATCAAATATGCAATAGTTAAATATAAAATATTTATACTTTTAATTATTTATATAAATTATTTTGTTAATAATAATAATAATATTTAATGATAATTAAATAAATTTATTAAGATATCTCTTTTTTGAAATAATAAATTTCATCTCTATATTAAAATAATTATGAATAATTATAATTTATTATGCTTAATTAACATGACTAAGCTTACCAACATGCTGAACACCCATTTCAGTTACTTTTAAATGACCACCCTTAATCATTGCTTCATAATTTGGTTTAATCATTTGAAGATCAGAACATATAAGTCCAAATAATTGTCCATCTGAATTGCTTTCCTCAATAGTAAATAATGTTCCAACATCTTTTAACAATGCTCTATGTATCTATATTCAAACATTAGTTATTTTTGTACATGAAAAAATACATCAAAAAATTATAAATAAATAATATATTTAATAAATATATAAAATAATTCAATGATTTTAATATATATATACACATATATATATGTACACACTTTTAATTATATTATTATATTATTTCAATATTTTCTTAATTTTTTTTTATATATCATTATGCAGTAAATTAAAACAGTAATGATTAAAATATTAAGATCTTAGAATATTTAACAATTGGCTAAACTAATGTAAATTATTTGTTCTAGTTTAATATATAATTTTATACTTAAATGTTTACCAACATAATAATTTAATTCATTTATATAAATGAATAATAAAATTATTTTAATATTATTGATAATAATATAAAATTAATAAAAAAATCTTGTTTAAAAATTTTTTTGTAACATTATTTTGAAATGAATTAGAAAAATGCTTTTGCAATAGAATTAATTAAATATATAATAGATTGCTTACCGTTGCATGCCATGATTGTGTTACTCTACGTGGCATTGTTGTCATGCTATCCCAATGACATTCAATGAAAGGAATAATATCTTTATCTTTATGAAAAAATGTTCTTTGTTCATTTTCTTTCTGAGATATTTGCAATAAATTTGCTATTGCTGTTACACACATTTGTGGAAATGCTAAAAAAATTATATTTTTTTAAATTTGTTGAATAATTAAAGAAAAGTTCAAATTATATATTAAATAATATAGTTATTATTTAAATATATTCTTACGTGCTTGATTTTTTTTGAAACTTTCTAAACCAGTAGGAGAACAATTTTTGCACATAAATATGTAATTCATCATAAAGGGCACTAATTTACCCAATTGATATCCAATGCAAGATTCATGAAACCATCTTGAACAACTAGCACATAAAAGTTCTATAATATTAAGATTTCTTTCCTTTCCACTGAAAGAATATTATAAGAATATATATTTATAAATTGATATTATTATTTTACATTGTTTGTTTGAATAGAAATTTTAAATAAACTACCAATAACAATTTCCAGCTTCATTATTATTTGTTCGGCCATTAGGTTTATCAATATTTTCTTCCAATTTATGTTTTTGTTTGCTTTTATCATCATGTTTTACTTTTATCTTGTCATCAATAGATTCAAGTTGCAATCCATCTACTTTATCGATTGGGCTATAAAAAAATATATTTATACTTGACTATGTAAGTTATGAAATGTATTAATGGTTTATAACCTCAAAAATATATTTTCTAATATGCGAATTTTAAGTACTTTTATATTAAATTAAGTTATAATAATACAGTTGTACTTTATATATATTTTTATAAATATAATATACATGAATATAAATATTTAATAAATACCTTTCAGTTTTTTCTTCTGACATTTTTGATTATAAGTTTCTATTATTTTTAAACTATTCTTGTTTTTATTTTATCCTAAATTTTTCGATGTATCAATATATAACAATATATTTATTGAATATACATAATTATACATGCTTTCTTCGGTTTACTTTTTATTTACTAGCTATAACTTATATTTTAAAGCTCAATTCATAACCATGTGCATCTACTTATAATGCACAAACATCGATAGAATACTATGGAGATTATCATGTAACCATATAAATTTATATGTAAATAACAAATTAAATATTATACATAAAAATATATAAAATGATAATATTATGCCATTTGTTTCGAACTTTACTTATATATATGTATATATAATTTTAAATGTATATATCATACATATATATATATATATATATATATATATATATATATATATATATATATAT